GAGGAGTAGTAGGAGGGTGGCGAGGGGGCGGTGTTCAGTCCAAGGTGAGTATCGGAGTGGACGGAGATAGGGGAGGAGAGGGTGGAGGAGTGGAGGTGGCATGGGAGGTAAGAGGAGGTGTGGTGCCAGGACCGAAGGTGAATATCAGAACAGACAGCGGTAGGGTAGGACTCCGGAGGTGGTGCAGGAGGAGGTCCGGGAGTCAGGTCAGGATTGGGTATGCACGGATATGACACCCAGATGGATCATCTTCGTCCCCTTGACCCTCAGGTTCATGGGGAGGGTCTTGGTCCTCCTCTTCTACACCCAGAGCGTATAACTTGGCTCTGGGTGGATGGTTCAGACACTCAAAAGAGTACCCGATCTTGCCACATTTGTAGCAGAGGGGGTTGCCCTTTGAATCCTTCGAAGGGCGTCGTTGGGTATTGTAAGAATTACCGGTATTCAAAGAATACCGGTTGTTTGATGAAGAAGGGCCCTGGGGAGTCCCTTTGGCATGTGTAGGAGACGAGCCTGTAACAGGCTTTGCCATAGATGCAGCGGGCTTCTTACTACTAGAGTAAGAAGAGAAATTCAAGTAGCCCCTTGTTGGGGCTACCCTAGGAGCAACTCCCAATGATCCCCTTGTGGGTGGGGTTGAGTTGTTGGATACACTCGACTTGCTGGTCAGGTGTGCATTGGTTGATCTGGAGGGGAAAAGTCCTCCTTTATATGTGTTTATTGTGCACATTGAGTCCATCACATTGTCAATGCAAAGAACAGCCATCCACAGTTCATCTTTGGATGTGAAGTTGACTGAAATTCGGTTGTGTAGCACAAGCTCTTCCCTTATGTGATAGGGGAGAGTGTTTACAAAACGTTCATTGAAACTCACCTGGTCAGGGTGAGAGTGATCATCTTCTCTGATGCTCAGAGAAGTTGAGTATAGAAATGCTTAATCTGTCATATCCATACATACCTGATCCCAATCCGACTCCCGGACCCCCATCTTCACCACCTCCAGAGTCCTACCCTACCGCTGTCCGTTCCAATATTCACCTTCGGACCTGATACCACTCCTCCTCTTACCCCTCCTCTTACCCCTCCTCTTACCCCTCATGCCACCTCCACACTTCCGTCCTTCTCCTACCTTATCCTCGTCCGCTCTGATACTCACCTCGGACCAAACATCACTCCTCTCGCCACCCTCCTCCTCTTACTCCTCACAACACCTCTACCCTTCCATCACTCTCCTACCCTACTTCCGTCCACTCTGATCCTCACCTTTGGACCTGACACCTTCCCTCTCCTCCACTCCTCACCCCGCTCCTCTCTTCTCTCTCCTCCCTCTGACCCTCTTCTGCCAAACCTCTGCCAAGTTACGACCTTCCGCCGCTGTCCCATACCCTGTACTCGGACACCGCTCATACCTTTGCTCCGAGATTCCATCATAGTTCCAACCTCAGACTTTGACTCCACCTCAGCTTAAGTCCATTGCATTGGTGACCTCATACTACATAAACACCATTGCCAATATTCCTTGGACTTTCAACCCCACCTCCATAACCTCTGAAAGCTCCATAACCTCCAAGCTCCATGGATCATACTCAGCACTTTCGCCGTTTGTAATGTATCTTTCACATTTTCCCCTCATCCTTATTTGGACTGCTGCTTCTCTCCATTCTAGCCAGTTAGTCATCATCCCCACTTCACCTCATCCTCCTGCCCCTCTGGGCTTCGCCCTCCCTATCTCCTTTCAGATGTACCTCAGGTTCTGACCTATGACCTTCAGTACCGCTCTGCTTCTGTCATCCCTTTGTTCCTGTTTGGACGCCTTCATTCCGATTCAGACCCCCTTTGTTTCCCTTGTGCTTTTGTCTCCCTATTATATACAGATGCTTGTACATACTCATTTTGGACCTTCAGTCTAAAATCGACCTGAAATGCCCCCTAGAGACTTCCTGCTCGCCACCTCTGAAATTAAGGACCAAATGGACAAACAGCAATGGCACAGCGCTCTGCATGAGTCACTGAGGCCAAGGTCCCTTTGCTAAGTCTCCAGTTCCCCTCCGGAATCGTCTGCCCTCGCCCAGTTCTAACATAATTGTTACAGGAATGGGTTCTGGGGAACCCAACCTGAGCCGTTCTGCCATGGATGGAGGTGGCTGCATAGCCGTTGAAGGGAGAGCAGGAGGAGATCTGAGGCCAGGTGTACTAATGGTAACTTGGTGCTCCGAGGAGCGTACTGGCAGTGGGTGTGGTGGCTTGCTAATGGTAACTTGGCACTCCAAGGAGCATACCGGCAGTGGGTATAATGGAGGCTCCTTGAGGGAGCCACCTAACAGTTGGCTAGTGGCGACTTGGCACTCTGAGGAGCATACCAGCAGCAGGTATAATGGGGGCTCCTTGAGGGAGCCACCTAACAGTTGGCTAGCGGTGACTTGGTGCTCATGTCAGCATACCGGTAGCATGGGTAGTCGGCACTCCTTGAGGGAGCAGCCCAGTGGTTGAATATCGGTTACTTGGCACTCAGGGGAGTGTACCAGTAGTGGGAGTCACTTCTCCCTCCCAAGAAGGGAGGAAGGGTTGCAGGACCCGGTAGGGTACTACAGGAAGGGTAGGAATGGGAGCTCAACCACCCAGTGTGGGGGTGGGAGCAGGAAGAGCGAGGTCCAGTGTCTGAGCACTCACCAGGTTGTTGAGGTTTCCTCATGGATTGTAAGAACATCGATGTAGACATCAATATGGACCAAGTCAGATGTTACAGGGAAGGTTTACAGGTGGTGGCACACTGGGGTGACAGTTACAATCACTGGGTGATACTCTGAGATTGTATATTTGATAAAGAGAACAATTCCGGCATCTGCCTTATTCATCATATGACTTCTAACTATCTAATATAAAAATCATAATGGTCAAAGGAAGTCCCTGTCATATCCATCCACAGCCATCGACTTCCACTACCTCCGATCTCTCTGGACTACCTCCACTCCTTCTTCACTAACCTCAGAGCTCCCATATTCCACAATCACATCGGTACCCCTCAATGGTCACCACCCCCTCTTTTCAATTTATTACCTATGCCTCCCTAAGTATGGAGCCCTGAAGGCTTCCGGACAGCTCCGATGTCCACTAGTGCACTCCCACCTCTGCTGGGAAATACATTCGCTTGCCCTGCAAGCCCACCTTCGGGCCTATCCCTCCTTTCCGTTTCTGGGTTATTGCCTACCATTCCACTAACCCCATAACCCGGTTTGTTGGTAGTATTCAATCGGCTAATGTTTAACTCCATTAGCTCCGCTCTGCTCGGCCCCACCATTTATGGGCCCACCCTCATTGTAACTATATATACTCAACTTGTACATAGGTTACACCTCAGTAATAAAATCGACTAGAGTTTACCCCCCTTCAGTTCTGGTTGCCAGTTAGTAAGTTAGGGCACGGACATGTTACTTGGCACAGTGCTCCTGGCATAAGTCGCTGAGGCCAAAGCCCTCCACCATGGAGACATTCCTTTGTCTCGACCTGGTCTCTGACAGTCCCTTGAAACTCAACAAATCCCCCAGCCAGCACCAAAACCCAGTGGGAAAGCTTGGCATGGGGTTTGACAAAGAAATATAGTTGGAGGGGCTGAGGTTTGATTGTCTATAGTCATGGACCATAAGATTCTAGGTCCATTCCCATAACACTGGAGGTGGTGGAGAGGAGGGTCCGGAAGTTGGATCAGGATTGGGTATGTATGGATATGACACTTTCGCAATGTTGTACACAATCCGAAATGCCAAAAATATAATAGGGTAGACACACACAATCACAGGAACACACTCACTGGAGGTATCATAATCCAACCCTTACTTTCACATCTTGTTCACCACTGATCTATCCAACCAAGTCTTAAAACTATAGCACACAATGTATACTTTGCTTAAATAATTTCATATGAAATTTGGGTGTGAGTTACAAGGAAATTGTTCTGGGGCTCATGTTTGAGACGATTCTGATTACATAATCAGGACACGGAACTAACCTGGGTTGCCCACCCCCACAATGATAGAAGAGGAGCATCCGCAATCATGTGAGCGAGTGGGAACTGAATGGGACTGAATGGGCATCGCCGAGTGAATGGAGGTCATAATCGCCATCAAACCGTTACCGGAAAGGGACTGCGGCATTCGCCGCATCGCTTGAAACGATCCGCTTGGATCCGGTCAGGTTAAATCAGCGCATATAAGTGTGTGTGAATTCTCGATATTTTACTTCCCAGACAGGCTGCCCGATTAAGGTGCCAAGGGGAAGGGGCGAGGCCCAAGGCATATTATCATACATGAATCTATACTCAAGTTCCACATGATTCTAAGCTCCCGGATAGCACCAACATCGTTCACCAATGCCTGGATTCGCGACTGTACAACCCAACTTCTTCTGAATTGTGGCAGTGGTAGACCGTATCACATGAGCCTATTGTGCTGCAAGTGATCCCCTATAGAATGTCTGGGGCCATGCCGATTGAACTCCTAACTCCTGGCCGGTTGTCCCCATGAGAGGCCCCCTTTGGGTAGTGAATAGAAGACTTAGTCATATGATATGAACCTTTTCTATACTCAATGTAATCGGTAGTGGAGAAGCCGGTGATTAAGTAATCATGTGGACGACCCCAGGAATTGTTGGCCAGACGCATAAACACGTGCCTCTTGATTCTTTGGGGAATTGCGACCACCCGGCAGAGAGTCGAACCCACACGCCCTCAATCGGTATACACCAGCGTGAGAACGGGTAGGTGAGTGTTACCACTATACCACCACTCCTCCCCCGGGGCATATAAGTGATGTCATCAAGCAGCACATTGACAGAAGTCGGCAATTCCAGAAACCGCACAGTCGTGATGGTTGGTTTTGGGGTGCCCACAACCACAGAAGTCTATTCTTGACCCTAGCTTCCCTAAGACACCCCATAACATGAGTAAAACTGTATTTGACCACTGGGAATGATTAAAATTTTGAACATCTGCCAAACCAGCATAATCACGCCTTCCTAATCTCAGCATTATCCCAGGCAGTCATGAGGAGTGGCGATTCGTACATAGTGGGCACTGCACTTGTACTGAGATAGGGTAAGGAATGATAGATCTGAGACACAAATGAGGGGAATGCATACCTCTCCTGCAGCGCAAGAAGCGCCTTGTCAACGGTCGTATCCGCACCATCAAGATCACCTCCCTCGCGCAGATCCTCAGCCTTCCTGAATGCAACCAGCGCATCTTCAGCCGATTGAAGGGGCTTATCCCATTCATCCAAATCCGTCAAACCCCACTTCTTCCCCTTTCCTAGCGATCGATTGTTATACGCCTTCAAGCCTGCGATATATGCACTCAGCATCACGTCAAAGATGGTCTCACATATGCAGCGAAACCGGAGAATCCAGGGAAGAGGAGTTTCCATGCGGACAAAGTCAAGCATTTCCAGGCCACGCCGGAGGTGCTTCGGATCTCCATGAAAGCAGCCACGTAAAAAAGTTCGATTTGGCGCTCTTTCGTACTTGAAAAATTCGAACGCCCAGCCATCGAAGAAAATGCAGTGGATGGGTAGAGAAAAATTTTGAGCGAGGTTGCTGGCGTCGCAACCTGTACATCTCAGATACCAAATGTGCAACCCTGAAGCGCTGGGGCTTACCATCGCCTTCGGCTATAACCTGGGCAATAGCCTTCAAACGTTCCTCATCATTCAACACTCTCAGCTTTATCTCGACGAACAGAACCGCAACAGCGCCAAAAGCTTTGAAGTAGTATTCAATGCAGCCCTGCGTAGCAATGTGACCGGAAATTGTGGTCTCTGGGTCATTCCTTAGCGTGAAAGTGAACAGCTTGACGAGGTGGTTAAAAATCTGCTGGTTGCGGTGAGCTTTTAAAGCGCGAGAGAATCAGCGTATCCTCACTGGAGAGAAGAATCTCGATCTCGCCTCTTCTGTCTTATGCTCATGAGGGGGCCCGTACTGCATTAACAAGATATCTAGGTCCATCACAATCGACTTGAAAAGATCTGTGGGAATACGAGAGCGGTGGATTTCGAAGGTTCCAATGTCTTTCAACGCATTCCCGGGTTCAAGTCCGACGAGAGGAGCGACGTCACCATACGTAACTTTGGAGAAACTAACTACCAAACCGTGTTCTACGTCGCTCGTTAGCACACCGGACCCAAGACAAAGATAGAGACAGACCTGAGTCGTCATCTTCTATTTGAACATCGAGACTGAACTGTTTCACGAGACGACGTACAACAGTCATAGCGGCATCTGGTGTATCAGGAGCAGGAATGTCTGTGGACGCATCCGCCGCACCAGTGTTATCCCGTGGCCTTTTGGGTGCCATTGTGGATGTCTAAATGAAGTCTGTCCAAGAGTGGAGTAAACCTAAATCCAGTTGACGCCGGAAGTTTGCGGAGGTCATGCATGTGTCACCAAAAAAAACACCAGGAAAAGTTTCAGTTCTGGCTGGAGGTATATATACAAATTTCAGCTGGAGCGAAATTTTCTAAGTACTGATAGTGCATGGGTGCGTGCACTCAAGGAGCGTCTCTATGTCAGGTGTGTTAGATTTCTTGGTATAAGACGAAATGATGGACTAGCGATGTTGTCGCTCAGTCCCCAAGAATGTTCAGCAGAAAGGTATGCCAGTTACGTGTTTTGCCGAACATCGGCCACCCCAGACTCCTTCCCAGTCGCTCACATGATTTCTCAACACGTGATGTTCCCACGCTAAGTTGTAATGAGTTGTACATAGGTTGCAGAATATAATTTTTGGTATTTACGCATGCGGTCATTGCACCCAACCCAACCCATGGAGACTGGGGGAGCACAATCCAGGGTTGTGAAGTCAATATCTGGGTGTGCGCGAAGTTTAATAGTTTATATATTACTTGGTTACAAGTCACTTGTTTGTGTCCGGTGGCATAAGTGGTACAGCATTGGTTGAGGATATGCAGTTTTTTTAAGTGGCACATGTTCAATTCTCACTTAGGAAAACTTTGTTTGGGCCCTCCCATGGAATAATTGTGTGAAATGGTTGTGTTCTGTACACTAAGGAGTGGAGGGTATGACAAAAAAGTTTTCCTGAGTGAGAATCGAACATGTGCCACTTAAAAAAACTGCATAGCCTCAGCTAACAGTGTACCACTTATGCCACCAGGCACAAACAAGTGGCTTGTAACCAAGTAATATATAAACTATTAAACTTCACGCACACCCAAATATTAACTTCACAACCTGGATTGTGCTCCCCCAGTCTCCACAGGTTGGGTTGGGTGCAATGACCACTGTAGGAGAAATAATATTCAAAGAATAAAACAATGATCTATCAGAATAGTCAACAATCAGGTGACAAGTTCAGATGTTTAACAGATCTCATGATCTTTATGAGACTGGACAGACATTAGAAGATCATTATAAATTATCTACACCCATGTAGCATGAGATTTAATCTATTACAAGCATGCCTAGAACCTGGCATAGGTGTAATATTCAAAGAATATATCCCTACAACAAGAAAATAGCACATAGACGGCAGAATGAGAAGGAACATTGGGAAAGAAATGTAAATATCTCTGGAACCAGTAAACTTTTGACTGTAATCTTTTTACCATCTGAAAGGACTGTTTCTAAACTTTATCCACGGTTTTGTTTCATTCTAAAAGCTTCAAAACTGACAGAGATATCGCTCAAACGGCGAAACACCTTATAATTCATATATATTTATTTGCTAATTCTTACAAAAGGTAATGTGACTCAAGGGAAATATATTGGCGCCCAAAAGTCTGGCGGACCAAATACCATATGACAGAGTATTCCCTGGCGCGGGTGGACAGTTTTTGATCACATCAGAAGAGGAGAAAATGCTAAAAAACTGGATCTTGTATATTTTCCCATGATTCATCAAAACTTTTTGGTTTTAAGCTCAAATAAATCGGAACAAAGGAATGATTGATGATCTGGATCTCGGATTATAAGCATGAAGTGATTCAGAAGTCCACGGATCAGTTAATTAATTGGGAAAGCTCTAGAACATTAGTAATGATGTGGCTTCACAAAAAGGGGTGGATTAGAGAACAGTCTAGAAAGTTCCTTTATAGCCAAGTCATTTCTAAAGATAACCGTTCGTAATTAAGGCAGTGTAGAGCATAGCTTTAGCGCTACAAGACCCCGCTGAGATCGGCCCAAACGACAAAGAACTGAATTACTTATTGCTGAGTCATGTCCTAAGTCCATTATTAAGCTTACACAGCCCAAGCCCCTGTATC